ATTACTACGTAAGAAACCACCGCTCTATGATTTATGGGCCTAAACTGGGTCCGACATTTATTCATGGGGGGGGAGAGTAAGTACGCCTGTACCGTGGTAGTACTACTACGTATAGTACGTAGTACGCAGTACTAGCTTCAATCACCATCGTCCTTTCAGGGCTGTAGAGTTTTTCGGTTCTACTTTTTGTGGGGTTCCTTTTTCTCCTATCCCTGATATGCCTTTGGCTTGGCTGCACGCAGTAAGTAGGTAAGTACCAGTATTGAGTTTGATTGATGCGCGCCAGAGGCTCCGATGGCAAATGTGACGGCCCGATGCATGGGACATATCGAACCGAATCGTATCGTACTAGAATCTTATTCGTAATCGTGGGACTCGACGTCTCAACTTTTGAGACCCTTCCTTACAGTAAAAGTGAGCGAAACAATCCTGTCCCGCGAAACAATAGTGTCCCGCGCCGCTTATGAAATAGCGAGGAAATCAGACATGTATCTTAATCCAAATGCGATTGCGTCTCGAGAAAGAAATAACATGTTACTACGTATCGGCTTCTGTGTCTTTTGCTGTAAGCTGCTCTTCGCGACCTCGGGATAAAGATCTCGCGCTCGGGTGGAATGATGGACGCGAATCCCTCCACCTTATTGCACATACGCCCTCTCTGAACTATTGCTTTTACCTTTTTTTTTTTGGTTTTAAGCTTTTCCGATCACAAACTCTTTTAGGGTTACCTAGCTACGATGGCTTGGAAAAAAATTTCGTTTTTCATTTATCGATATTTCTTAACATTCGAGCACATGCAATCCCGTCTTTTTCTTATTTTCTTTTACTATACTCTCTTAAACTTACTACGTACGTTGGATGTGGAAGGAGCTGATAAGCTGTATCCTAGCATCTCGAGAGGCGTGCTCAATATTACGAGCTGTAAAAGGTTTGCGCGCGAAATTGTAAAAAAGGATTCGTACTACGTATAAACGGTATAATAATATACTCGGCTTCAAAGCTTCGAATAGCATTTATAATAGCATATCATTAATTACATATCAGGGTACGAAAACGGCCGGCTTTTGTTAAGGTACGTAAGTCAATTTCAAGTTGAAAAATATTTGTTTTGAAAGGTTATGGTTTCCTCGCAATCTAGTATTAGTAGTACTTATAAGAAAAGATCGGTGCGGGATGCAATTGTTTCGCCTACTTAGGAAAGGGCCCTAGAAGTTGAGACGCCAAGTCCCACTATTATCTGATGAGGTTGACGATGCCGATGGGTCGCACGGAGATTCTTGGATGCTCTTGATCCACAGCATGGGATTGTTGCCACGGTACAGGCCTAAGTATTACCCCTCGAGGGTGCCTCAAAAGTCTAGTTTCCACTTTAAAACCCCTGGTTATCCTACCCTCAAGGGGTAATACTTACGCCTGGGACGTAGCAAGTACTGGTAGTACTTAGCGGGAAAGTGGCCTGACTGGACTTAGTAGTACGTAGTAGTAGTAGTAGTAGTAGTAGTAGTAGTAGTAGTAGGTACTACTAATTATCGTGGTTTCTCGAACCCTGTACCCTCCAACCCCTACCCCCAAGCTTCTCAGCCACAGCTACAGACACAGCCACAGCGGCCTTGACCTGGCAAACAAATCCGACCACGCCTACATACTATTACCTGCACTTGCAATGCAGCACGCAAAATAACAACGCCCCCCCCCCCAAAACAAGCTCTCATCAAAACCTCACCCATCCATCGTTGAAGCTCGATTTTCGAAAAAAAAAATTGATTTTCGAAAATCGCTATCTGCCCGCATCCAGCCAGGTCCTGGAAGAAATCCCCCCCCCCCCCCAGCGATTCCTGAAACGAGAGGTGATGTGAGCTCAGGTCGCCCTCAAAAATGCGCGATGTCGACTCAGGCCTCTCCGAAGCCTGTGATCTTCTTAAATCCAGACGACTTTGAGGTCGAGAGAATTTTTCCCATTAGAAATCTCGTGGGCGACGCGGAGACTAACCAAAACCCACGGACGGAACGGGCGCGGGAACGGCAGCAGGAGGAGGAGGTGGTGCTAGGAGGTATACCCGACAGTAGTGCTAGTTTTGGAGAGCTACCGACGACTAGAGTTGCGGATCCTCAGGCTACTGGTGAACGAGAGACGAGCCATGCCGACCGCGGAAAATGCCAGGATCTGGAAGATGGGATATCCCCGCCGTACATGCCCCCTCCGTAAGTCAATATTCACATTTCTTGGAGTGTTGAATTATGCTTACTCCGAGATCTCTAGGTGGCTCCCAGTACCGCCCGAGCATGCGATTCGAAGGCTGTCTCCCGATCTTCGCGATGCAGATATTCCAAGTTCGAGTGCTTGTAGTGAAGGCAGTCAAAGAAGGAGGACAGAAAGGACGCAGCTAGTCCCTGCGACAACGGGGCCACCAGGCGTCTTCCCAGGCGTCATATCAGAACCCTCCCAACAGAAATTTTACCGATGTGAAGACGAACCGATCCATATACCGGGGGCCATCCAACAGTACGGAGTTCTGCTTGCGTTAAGATATGCCGAAGATGGAAGCCTCGAGGTGCGGATCGCTAGCGAGAACTCGAGGCTTGTCCTTCAGCATAGCCCAGAACAGCTGTTTGCGTTAAAGTCCTTCCTCGATATCCTCGACCCCGAAAGTCGTGAAGACATGGTTGCGCGGATCGATCATGCTCTTTCGGAGGTTGCAGTCGCCAAAGGGAACGAAGACACCCACTTGGACATCTTCTCTGTGCATGTACTCATGCCAGACGGGACGCCAAAGGAACTGTGGTGCGCCCTCCACATCTCCAAAGGAACCACTGATCTAGTCATACTGGAGTTTGAGGAGTACCATGATGTCTTCTGCCTCGCGGATCAGTACTCAGAGAAGAACCTACCCACGGAGCCTACCCAGACGGTCGACATCGATTTCCTCCCGGAAGAGAGGTTGAAGAGCACAAGAAGCGAAAGTGTGCCGTTGAGGGTGTTGAAGATCGCACGGCAGAAGAAGCACTCGGGCGTTTCCTCGATGAGCTTGTTCAATGCTATGATTCAGGCGCAGCAACAGCTGACGGAAACCAAGTCTGTCCAGCAGGCTCTGGATATTGTGGTCGGGATCATATCTGAGCTTACAGGCTTCCACCGTGTCATGTTTTACCGCTTCGACACACAGAAGAACGGATGTGTGGAAGCTGAGCTCGTCAACCCTAAAGCTAGTCTGGATCTTTATCGAGGCCTTCACTTTCCCGCGTCCGATATCCCGGAGCAAGCTCGTGCGCTCTATAAGATCAATAGGATCCGTATTCTGTATGACCGAGATGCAGAGACAGCCCGACTGGTATTTACCCTCCTCTTCTGTGCCACGAACGGTTCGAGGGACCATGTGCTAAGTAATTTGTTAGATCTGCCGTGACAAAGCTGCCTTTGCCACTCGTAAGTCTCTGGCCCCTTCTTTCCAATGTTTCCATTAGGAAACAAATGTACATCGAAACCCATTTTCTTCAGACTTCCGGAATACTCTGAGAGGAAGCTTGCTAACTGGCTCACAGCGCTCGATCTAAGTCACTCATATCTACGAGCAATGTCACCCATACATCTGAAATATTTGGCCAACATGCGAGTTCGAAGTTCGAGTAGGTAAACCTCCATTCTTCACTCTTCCAACTTAAGATCTCGAAACCCTTGCGCACTCATTCATCTGTGGTTATCTTGTTATTTCATATTTTGTACTAATCTCTTGTCATATAGTGTCAGTATCTATAGTCATCAACGACGATCTTTGGGGCTTGGTAGCATGCCACGGCTACGGTGACCTCGGAATCAAGATCCCCCTTCCAATCCGCGAGCTCTGTCGCAATATTGGCGAATGCGCGGCCACCAACATCCAGCGTCTTCTCCTCATGCAGCGAATCGAGGCAAGAAGACCACCGGAGCGAGCACCACCCACACAACATCCGGCTGGGTTCATTGCGGCTTCTACGACGGATCTATTGCGAGTTTTCGATGCTGATTTTGGTCTGCTCAGTATACACGATGAAGCTCGGACCATTGGCAAGCTGGACCCGTATAGAGAGGCATTGGCTATACTTGCGTACTTACAGCGTCGTCGGCTCAAACATGTTACCGCTTCACAGAATATCAATGCGGACTTTCCCGATATCAAGTTTTCCCCAGGTACGAAAAGTTCTGGTCACACAAACTTCTCTTCATATCGTCACCATGCTTTGCCTTGAAAGAGCTTTCTCGGCCATGCGGAATCTAGTGGTAGCGCTGACGTTGACCAGGTATTCACGTTATATCTGGGTGTCTGGTGATTCCCCTCAACGTCTGGGGCAATGACTTTCTGGTGTTTTTCAGGAAGGGTCAACTAAAGGAGATTCGATGGGCAGGAAACCCGTACGAGAAAATCAAGAGGTCTGGAACCGAGTATCTAGAACCTCGGATGAGCTTCAAACGCTGGACTGAAACAGTTGCTGGGCTGTCGAAAGGCTGGACCGACGACCAGACGGAGACGGCTGCCGTCTTGAGCTTGCTCTACGGCAGATTCATTGAGATTTGGCGACAGAAGGATGCAGCGGGCCAGAACAACCGCATGACCAGACTGCTGATACGAAACTCCTCGCACGAAGTTCGGACGCCGCTGAATGCGATTGTCAACTACATAGAGATGGCTTTGGAGAATCCCGTCGACGAGGCGACCAGGGATATCCTGAGCAAGGCTCACAAAGCCTCCAGGTCTCTGATATATGTTATCGACGATCTACTGAATCTCACGAAAGCGGAAGATGGACCGATAAACTCTCCAGATGATTTTTTTGACCTTGGTGTAACCGTTTCAGACGTGATCACTCAATTCCGCAAGGAAGCCATGAGAAAGAACCTAACCTTGACGGTCTCGACGCATCAGGGCATACCTGACATGGTGAAAGGGGATGCATCTCGGCTTCGCCAAGTTCTATCAAACGTGGTCAGCAACGCCTTCCAGCATTCCGTCGAAGGTGGCATTAAAGTCGACATCCGCCCAATCAGGACCAAGGAGTCTAGCTCAGTGATTGGTATAACTGTACAAGATGCCGGCATTGGCATGAGTGAAGAGCAACTAGACGTAAGCCAACAAGGATATCTTGCCTGCCCAGTACTGCTGACACCATGACCCAGGAATTATTCCAGGAATTTGAGCAGGTCATCGACGAAGATAACCTCTCCGGCGCAACCACGCCTTCCAACGTCCCCGAAGACCAGTCTCTCGGGGTTGGTCTCGCGGTCGTCGCTCGGTATGTCAAGAACATGAAGGGCCAAATCCGAGTGCAGAGCGAACTAGGTAAAGGCACAATATTTGGTATCGAGCTACCATTCGACCACGCAGTAGTGGAGCCTGGGGAGCCCCCACAGACATCTCCATTCTTTGACCCCAAAGCCACGACCACGCTCAGATCAATGTCAGACACGCGCACTGCGCCTATCCTCGTACCATCCGAGGAGCAATTGCAGGAGACTACGCCGGCCGCAATGCAGAACCATGTTCTATCACCGTCACCAGGAGAAGAGGGATCAAATGTGGCATCGCCTGGAAGCCAGATGGATGGATTGTCTTCCATTCCTTTAAGTGCTGCCAGATCTAATTTCCCGTTCCCGGATATGGCTGCGCAGAGTGAGCGCCCGCGAGGAATCCTGTCAGTGCTCATTGCGGAGGATAACCCGATCAATGCTCGGCTTCTAACCCGGAGACTCGCGAAGCTGGGTCATCTTGTGGAGCATGTGAATGATGGACAAGAATGCCACGACCATTTTGCGCTGAACTCGGGGAAGGTGGATGTTATTCTGATGGATATCCAAATGCCTCTCGTCGATGGCATGGTATCGACCAAGATGATTCGCCAATATGAGAAAGAACTCGCGGAGTTGCGGTCCCTTGGTCCTAGGACACCGATCATTGCTGTCTCGGCTTCTCTGTCGGAAGAGAGACGCTCTGATTACATTGAGAGCGGGTATGTCTCCGTCTCCTCTCCTCCTTTGTGAAAGCCTTTCCGATGCTGTTGGCTGCCAAGGCCGCACGGGCCATTAATTCCGAGTCCGAGTCTCCAACTCCGATTTCCCCAATTCCCCCAGTCCAGTGTTCCCATACTTACCTACTTTTTTTTTTTCCAGTTTCGATGCCTGGATCTTGAAGCCAATCGACTTTCAACGCCTCGATTTGCTGCTCAGAGGTATAGTATACCCAGATCTGAGACGAGAAGCAACATACATACCTGGACAATGGGAGAAAGGGGGCTGGTTCACATGTTGAACCGAGTCCAGGGATGGGACGATCGAACGAGTTAACGATAATATAACGACGGGAAAGATACACGCACGATAGATCTGATATCCAGCTTGGGCGGTCCAGGCCAGACAGATACAGTGGACCGTCACGAGGTGCTTTGGGAGTGTGGGATTCGGGGAAGGTGTTTAAAATGGTGCGGGAGGGGTGTTGAACATTGTGGGATTATCTGGATGATGGGGGCAGAGTCTGGATTTCAGGGGTTCAGGGGCGATTGTGATGGGAATAATGGTTCAGAGATACCCCCTCGGTAATGCATATGGCACGGCAAGCGCTATGAATAAAAATTCAATCGTATTATGTTTCTCTTGGGACCTTTTTGTCTCTTTCCAACTTGCTTGTGCTTGTGCTTCTGCTTCTTTTCTTTTCTTTGCTGTGTGCCAGCAACCGATCTTGATAGTTTTCACTCACGTATCTCAGTGAAAGTTGGCTTCGTTGTTTGAGGGGTAGGGGGTGAGCATATTCCGAATTCAACTTTACCTCGCTTCTCCTCCTATTTATTTCACTCTGAAGTCTCGCGACGCGCCACGCTTACTTCTTTGCGTTTCCACAAGAGGTCAAGAGAAGAAGATTGATTGAAGAAGAAGAAATTTTTGAAAAAAAAAACAACCTAAAAACTAGCTAAGTCCATCCAT